TTATTTTTTTTTAAAAAAATTACAGTTGTAGCAGCTGCTGCAGCAATGCCCAGAGGCTTCAGTTGTGAAATAGTTGTGACTATGAAATTGAAGCATAAAGACCATCCATCCGTCACAGAGACTGTGATTCTATTCCATACAAAAATGGCAACAAATCAGTACCTGGAAAAAAATGGAATGTTACTAGAGAACAAAATGTTACTGACATGGCCTGGTGTCACCACCATTGGAACTGCTGGCAATTGCATTCCAGTTGGCTGATACAGAACCAACCGTATATTGATTCAGACCCTTTAGCCTAGTGCTGTCATCTCTAACTAAGCTGTTCTTCAAGCCCTTAGGCTGAGAAGGGTCTTTCCCAAGCCTTCCACCTTACATCCCTTAACCGGAATGATTGCACCCAGGCAGTTCTTCTCCGCACAGAGCAAATTCTGCCTCGAGCTCTCTGCCTTCAGGATTGTCCTTGTATCAAAACCTTTGTCTAGGGATGACAACAAACTGGTTCATGAACTAAAATTCGTGATGAATTTTGGTTGGTTTGTGCTTTGTGAAGTCAAGTCCATGATATGTCAACTGGCATGAACTTTCCACAAATGTTGAAGCTGTTCGTGGAGGTTCACTGCAGTACATGAATGGATACGTTTCCAGACAGACTGTTTCCGCTCAGTCCAGATGTTTACCAAACTTCACAGCGAATTTCCCCGGAAAGCACTTTCCTAGGGGCACCTTCTTTGGGGGGCTGTAACTTAGATTCCGTAAATCCAATCCTCACTAAACTTGGGAAGAAGGTAGAGTCAGCTGGAGATCCCCTGTGAGTTTGTCAGCTCTAGCACACAGGGAAGGGGGCATTCTAGCACACCAGGTCACAAACTTCACAAACCAAATCAGTTCATTTGATGCCTAAAAATTAATGACGGTCTGTGGTTCATGAACCAGTCATGCCACAAACCACGAATCAAACTGCCTTTTCCTGGTTCATGCCCATCCCTACTTTTGTCTTCTCTGATTTTATTAATAGCTTCTGTTTTCTAGTGCGCCTTTCCTCACAACTCATATACAGTTAGTTGTTAAAAGAGGCCATTCATTATGTATGTGACTAGCCTGATACCCGTGCTTCACTGTGGTATTTAAGTTCTGTAAATCCAGTAATAATACTGATGATGTGAAGTTTGAAATGTAACATTTGTTGTAGGAATTCTAATGGAGAAGATTGTAGTGCAAGCAGGCAAATTTTACCTCAGAACTCTGAGCTACACATTGCACCAATCGAGGGCGGGGTAGGGGCAAGGAGGCGGCAGCCTGCTAGGCACATGAAAAACAATTGGGGGAACACATTCCCCCCCCTTTTTACCCCCTTAGAGGTTGTGTTTCTCAGAAATCTGTTCGTAGTGGGGGTTGATGTCATGGTAAGAATGCACTCCCCTTATTTTGGGTTTCTTGGTGCAGGGGTTTGGCCTGGGCACTGAATTTTTGTTAGGGGGTGCCGGGCATCTTCTTTTTTAAAAAAATAAAAATTCTTTTCATTTATTTTACATTTAAGAAGTGGGACATAACTACATATTCAAAGTAATTCTTGGTCAATCAGATATTAAGAAAGTTCATATGAACCAATTTTCTAGAACCCACATTGTGAGAAGTTAAATAACCTAATACAGGAAACCACTTTTCTAAAAATTCGGGGTATATTTCCATAGTGGGTGGGAGTGTGGCTAAAGCCATCTGGGAGGTTGGGCCAGCAGCATCGCTAAGGCGATCCTCCTAGGGCAGCCTCCCTGATGAATTAAAGTACCCTGGCCCTGCTCCTACCCCTGACAAACACCCATCTATCTGGTGTAAGGGGGGGGGATTGTGTTTAAAGGCATTGGGGAGGCTGGGCCAGCAGCACTGCTAAGGTGTTTTTGTTTGGATGGCCTCCCTGATCGATTAAAGTACACTGGCCCTGTTCCTACACCTGACAGACACCCCCTATGCCCTAGCGCATTAACATCTTATTGCCTGGCCCCCCCAAGGGTGGAGCGTGGCGCTGGAAACGGCTCTGTTCTTGTTGGAAATTTGCTGTAATTTGTTTTATTTTATTGTAATTTATTGTTTTTAAACTATATGTTAATGTTTTAACAGCACTTTGTGCCCCTGTTAGCTGCCCTGAGCCTTCGGGGTAGGGTGGGATATAAATGTAAATATAAATAAATAAATTTCCATTGCTACTCCCATTGTCATTGAGTTTTGTATCCTTAGTCCTATTACATTGTTCACTGGATGTCTTATGATGTATGATTACATTTTTAAAACTCTTTCTTTACACTGCAATCTTCCTTAAGTCTCCATGAGAAAGGTGGGCTATCTGTTGCTTTTCCTGTTTATGGTCATTACTCGAACAAATGAAATGAAACAGAGGTTTAAATATAAATACATAAATAAATAAATAAATAAATAAATAAAATGTTGGGGGGAGTGTGTTTAAATGCATTGGGGAGGCTGGGCCAGCAGCAATGCTAAGGCAATCCTGCTGAGCAAGCCTCCCCAATGGCTATAAGCATCCCACCTCCTCCCCTACACCTGACAGGCAGTTGCCTGCCCAGTGTAGGAGGGTGAGGGGTGGGATATTGCAAGCTATTGTGGAAGTTGGTTTGGCAGGATCACTAAGGTGCTACTACTGGGATGAGCTCCCTGATGGCTTTAAGCACCCTGCAGCTGTTACTGCACCTGACAGATAGCTGCCTGTCAAGTGTAGGAGGTGGGGGGAGCGTGTTTGAAGCCATGGGGGGGCTGGGCCAGCAGCATTGGTGCACCTCACAGGTGGTTCACCCTTCTTGATCTCCTCAACTGTCATTAGCTCTCTGCAGTCTCCTGTAACTGGGATTTTAAAACCTCTGAACACTGAGCTCTGCAGCGGACCATCAGAGAGTGGGGAGTGCAAGAAGGCAGCAGCCTGGTAGCCACATGGGAAGCACCCTTTTCACCCCCTTAGGGGTTGAATTTCTAAAAATCCCTTAGTGAGATTCTACATCATGGTAGGAGTGCTCTCCCTGAATTTCATGTTTCTATGTCCAGGAGTCTGGCCTGGGCATTGATCTTACGGTGAGGACACTTTCTTTTATGTATATAGATGTAGGGTTGGACTGGAAGATCTGGGTTCAAATATCCACTCAACCATGAAGCTCACTGGGTAACCTTGGACCTCTCTCTCTTTCTCAACCTCAGCTACCTTACAGTGTAGGATTGGTGAAAGAAGGCTTCCTATTTACATATCTGCCATATAAGGAAGTAACTGGTTTCCCGCTCAAAAGGCTTGCCATATAAGGAAACTATGTAGTGCAGCTTTGTAGGAATTGATTGACAGATATAATGAAGGAAGTAACTGGTTTCCCGCTCAAAAGGAAACTATGTAGTGCAGCTTGGTAGGAATTGATTGACAGATATGATGTTATATAAGGGCAGCATTTTCCCTCAGTCTGCGAATTGCTCAGCTGCTGTGCTGGCTTTTCTTTTTATTTGAATAAAATTAACTCCTGTTACTAAAAGAAACCTCGCCTGTTGTGTCTTATTGGGATGGGCACACCAGAACAGAACTCCTTGTGTTACAACAGGGCTCGTTGTGAGGACAAAATGGGTGGGGGGAATAACTATGTTCACCACCCTCCACTCCTTCAAGGAAGAGAAAGATCAAAATATTTGGTTTTCCCTTGATCTGGATAGCCCACACTAGCTTGATCTCATCAGATTTCAAAAGCTAAGCAGGATCCACATGGGTTGCTAAGCAGATGCAGGCAATGGCAAACCACCTCTGCATATCTCTTGCCTTGAAAGTCCTGTGAAGGGTCACCCTGAATTGGCTGTGACTTGACGGCATTTTACACAAAAAGTTTTTTTTTAAAGGTATGTACATGTACCACCACTAGAGGTCACGTTCTGCAGCTGTCAATCTTCATACAGAACAGGTGTTCAGCCATTCCTCATTTGGCTTCAGGCAATTCCTGATAAAGAAGTTGTTGCCCCGTAACCCAGTTCTATCCCCAAAACAATCAGACACTTCCTTTAAAAGGCTTGATGGAATAGTTTGCTCCTCATGGCAAGTTGGCTCTGGATCCAGATTGTAAAAGGATGCAACGTATCGACTTATTTACTAAGGAGAATGTTATTCTTAACATACCTTCTTCCCCAAATTCTTGAGCCAGTATAGACAGGAATTATCAGTACAGCCCTACAAAGAAGGCTAGGTTAATAACCATAGCTTGTCCGTATTGTATCATGAGAATCAGGCCTAAAATGCCTTATGAAGGTTCTCCATCCTCTCATGAGGAAAAAATTGAGTCCCTCAAATCACTTTCTTTTTGCACAGCTTAGCCAGTTTATTAGAAATAGAGAATTCCAAAACAGGACAGAAAACAAAGCAAGAACTTTTTATACAGAAGAGGTTACCATATCACCAGTTACCATATCTACCTGGAGGTAGAATGACACTTTTAAGTTACCTCATGAAACATACTATGGAGCATCAGTCATTTGTTCCTATTAATGCCACTTCAAAGATTAGAGAAAATCAGTTGTGGGTGTGATATATATGTCTTATTTACAAGTATTAGAACAAGCTCTTCGATGAAATCAGGGCTTTTTGTTTTTATCTTAGCATATAAATATGTAGTGATTTAGCCTTGAATCGATGCAGTCTTGGTGATGGCTTAATTGAGACGTTAACAAATAACACAAAGGAGGTGGCTATTACAAGTCTCTTCCAGTATCCACAGTCACTGTAGGTGAAGTCCGTGAAGTGAAGCCAATGTACTACCACGTCCAACAATATGAGTGACACATTTATGCCATAACAATCACCAATCAAAACAGGAATTTATAAGAAATATATGGTGCAGCCCAACAATTTTTTAAAACAGACTATAGATTGGCAAAAGGGTATCTGTGCAAATAACGAAAGGACTGCTTTTGCAAATTTGCTGTCTTGGAAGGCCATCGCCATTAGCTAACAGAGGTTTCTTTAAACATTCCTAGTAGTTTCGACTACAGTGACCACCAGCAGGTGATGCAAATTTGATATGGGAGCCCCTATTGCTCCCACAACTAAAGCCTTGTGGCGGGGGGCAGGTATCTCCATAAGGTGGGCAAGGGTTGACACAGGGGATGCAATTCCCTGTATCCCTGCAAGGAGGCACGGCATCAACACACACATCTCTGGCTGGGCCACACTTTGTTACTCCAGTGCGAGGAGGTGTCACAATTTGCCCAGTGGGCCTGCACACACCATGAGGTCCACATGTAGGCTGAGATTTGGTGTTGCACACAACTGCTCCCTGGCTTCTTCGCACAGCTAGGGGAAAGGAATAACATACTGGTTACGTCATAGTTAACTTAAAACCCCAGATCTCTGGATAGGCCCATCTGTCCCATATTAGTTTATTCTGTAGGCTTCCCTGGTCTGAAGGTTCAGCAACAAACCTTGAGTTGGGCAGCCAAGGACTGCCTATATTAAATGGCTGCAAAACACAGCCCTCCTTGCACCTTTACAAATTCCTTCCCACCTTCCCATTATCTCCTTTCTTTAGGGGGCTGCAATCATTTTTTTGTCTCCTCAGCCTCCAGAGCTCTGGCCCTCAGTTCTGTCACCTCACAAAAACCTTTCCCAGCTCTGCACCATCAAATGCCAGGGGATTTTGGGGGTGGTGCCTGGGGAGGGTGGAGGTTCAGGGAATGTAATGTCATATCCTCCATGATGATGTAGGAATTCCCCCATTCTCTATGATAAATACCATAGAGATCATAGGGATTCCTAAAGTGTCCACTGGAAGTGATGTCACATTCTGCAGTTCTCTACTTGGTAGTGATGTGACTTCCTAAGAATGCTTTAGGAATCCCTACAATCTCTGTGGTTTTTACCATTGAGACAGGGGAAATTCCAAGGGCATTGCAATTAACACTACCCCTCATTTTGTTCTCTCCCAGACTTCAAATCATTGAGGAGGGAATTAGGGCTGAGGGCCCAGCTCTGGGTTGGCTGCTATGGGTTGTCAAATGGCAAGCCTAGTTGTTCCTGTGACATTTATTAGCTTTCAGTAGCCATCTTAGCAGGGGTCATTTCCTGCAGGAGCGCACAGGAGCGGAGCTCCGGCAGTAAGGAGCCCAGGGGGTGGGCACATGTAACAAGCCCCATCCCCTGCTCCCAGCAGCCCTCAGTTGGGCCACGAGGAGCAAGAAGCAGCCAGGTAAGTTGCAGAGGGGGCCCCCCGCCCACCTTCAGGTACAAGCTCTCCCTCCTCTGTGAGGGCAAATCTGCGCGTTCCCCCCCCGCCCATAGCTAGCAATCCAAAACAGTCCAGTGGCACCTTTAAGACCAAGTTTTATTCAGGTACAAGCTCTCCCTCCTCTGTGAGGACAGATCTGCACGTTCCCCCCCCCCAATAGCTAGCAATCCAAAACAGTCCAGCGGCGCTTGAGCGGTGGGTGTGGCATATGCAAAAAAGTTATGCTAATAAGTTATGCTAACGAGCTCCTGCACCTCTTTTTCTACGAAATGACCCCTGCATCTTAGTATGACCCATCACTACTCACTATGATGCTGAGAGGATTTGTAGGCTCCGTAATAGCTTAGAATCAGGGCTGTGGTTGAGAGACAGAGCACATGGTCTGCCTGCAGAAGGTCCCAGGATCTATCCCTGGCATCTCCTATTTAAGGATCTCAGGGAGAAGGAGCTAGGAACGATCTTTTTTTGTCTGAGACTCTGGACATCCATTCCAGCCAGAGATGGCAATACAGAACGAGATAGAGCAAGCTGGGGAGGGGGGGACTCTCCTTAGCTGCACAGCCTCTGCTTGAATATCTCCCACAATCTGTTGGAATTGCTCTAGCTTTGAACTTCCTGCTCTAAGCTAAGGGTTAGTCTCAATGGCCTATAAGGGCATATCTGTCTTTAAGTTCAATGCTCTCAGAATAAAGCAGTTCCTCACTTTCACAGTCCACAAAAGGACCCCTTGTTGAGTAACCCTTTCCCTTCTTCTCATTCAGTTGGATCCACTAAAGAGTTCATGGAAGGTGTGGACAGCAGGTCTTTCGCCACCCCACCCCAGTCTTCAAGCTGCCTCCCGTTTGTCCTGAAACTCCTCTTTCAGGATCAAGAGAGACTTGTAAGCAAAAATAACTGCAGGACAGGAAGCTGCAGCTTTTCCAGAGATGCAAGCTGCAAGTGGACGATGAAAAAGCAATTTTACTTGATTAACTCTCATCACTGCAGCCCTCCCACCTCCTGTGGCAAGTTTTGCATGTGGGACTCTCCTGATCCTCAGGGGGGAGTTTCAGGAGCAATTGGGGAGGTGGTGAACAATCCCCTCCATCAACTCTTTGCAGTGGATCTAACCCATAGTTGGCATCTTGTCACACAGCCCTCCTTACCCTTCACTGTGGCTCTGATGACAGAGAATCAATAATCACATTTGTTAATTAAAACAATCAAATAGAAAAGAGACAGGGATCAAGATTGTAAGGTTGCCAACTCTGGCCTAGGAAGCTCCCAGAGGTTTGGGGGTGATGCAGGGAGAATTGGGGGGATTTCTTCTAGAATTAGAGCTGCCAGGTCCCCCAGGGGGATGGGAACCCCGCCCCCAAAATGCCTGGATTGGGCTGACGTGCCTGGTGCGATGACATCACCTGGCGGTGACGTCATCATGCTAGGCATGTCGCCGGGGGGGATGCTCTAGCATTCGCCCTGAAAACTCTATGGTATCAGAGTTTTCAAACCAAATGCTAGAGTGTCCACTGGTGAGATGCATAGCGTGATGACATCACTTCCAGGTGATGTCATCACAGTACACACATACTATGCGTGTACACGAATGTCCCAGACTGGGAGCTTCTCCACCACCACCACCCCCGCCGCAATAGGTAAGAGAACTGGCAACCAGTGTTCCCTCTCCAGCTCACACATTTTTGTCTTAGCTCTGGAAGGATGGCTCCAGAGCAAACTAATTCATGCAATAGCCAAATTGCTCACTCACAACTTTAATGCCAGTAGCTCACAAAGTAGAATTTTTGCTCACAAGACTCCACAGTTTAGAGGGAGCATTGCTGGCAGCCCTACCAAGAATCTATGGTATACCATAGAGTTTGCACTCTGAAGCTGCCTTTTCCTTCTGGGGAACTGATCACTGTAGTCTGGAGATCAGCTGTAATTCTGGGAGAACTCCAGAGCACGCCTGAAGGTTGGCAACTCTAAGCAAGACAGAAGATTGTCAACATACTTACAGATGTTTACAGCACATTCTCCTTCACTCAACCTAATGAGATAGAAGTTGACAGTTTATTAATAAATATCTTATTAATTCATGATCACTATATGCAACTCGTCCCTTAGCCTGGTGAAAAGTCCTGACACTAGATATGAAGATCTTCAGAAATAGACACATTCAGTAGCTTCTAATCCAATAACTTCTGAATCTTGCTAGTTTGGTGTAGTGGTTAAGTGTGCGGACTCTAATCTGGGAGAATCGTCCCTTAGCCTGGTGAAAAGTCCTGACACTAGATATGAAGATCTTCAGAAATAGACACATTCAGTTTGCTTCTAATCCAATAACTTCTGAATCTTGCTAGTTTATTTAAGCTGTTTTTAGCTCACTTTTTGCCCAAAAGGGACTCAGGGCAGTTTACAATTATTTTAAGAATACACCATGAAATCAGAGAAACAGGTAAAACCAAAATATAACACAAATTAAAACAAACCCAGACCCCTGAAACCCATGCTATTGGAAGGGCTGTCTAAATAAGTCTGTTTTATACTGCCCTTGAAATGCTAATAAGGCCTTTCCAATCCTTTCAGGAAAGCTATTCCACTATCTCACAGGAGCCGTGGCTGAGAAGCGTTGGGGTCAGTAGATAATATATTGATCTAATCAGCCTGCGGCATGGCACTGTAAGTAGGCCTCAGGATAGGGAGTGAAACTGCCACCTCAGGGTACATTGTGAGAACAGGTTGCAAAGATATGTAGGCCCTGGACCTAGGGTTGCCAAATCCACTTACCCCTCGGAGCGGGGGAGCCTCGTCAGTGTCCAGGAAGTCCTTTTGGGTGCATGTGCGCGTGCGCAAAGCGCGCATGCGCCAGCAGGACGTCACCAGAAGTGACGTGCGACGTTGCTGACGTTGGGGGCGTGGCCAAGCTCGTCGGGGGGAAAACCATATGGTTTTCCCCCCGACGAGCTCAGCCACGCCCCCAATGTCAGCAACGTGACTTCGGGGGCGGGGTTCCCCCCGGGCCCCGATTCCATCGGGGCGGAAATCGGGGCTCCGAAGCGGGGGATTCCCCGCCCCCCCGGCCCATTTGGCAACGCTACCTGGACCATATTGACTTTAGATGTCATAACCAACACCTGAAATTGAACCTGAATACAAGCATTTAATGCAGTGACTTAACTTAGGCATAATATTGCAAACTGCAGCTCAGAAAGTTCAGCAGTAGTTCTCTTCGTTTTTGACCACAGTCTGCTGTTATAAAAGCATGGAAACCAGAGCAATAGAAAAGTTTGCAACCCATTTCTAAAGTGTAAACACAACGTTTTAATACTTCAATGGGCAAAAGGATTAACAAAACAGCAAGGCTGAAGTTTTCAACATTATAGGGACAACGTTTGGAATCAAACTCTGGTCAAAATTACTTGGGGACAGCAGCTATCCATGGAATGAATGACAGGCCTCACAACCGGAATGCAGATGTTGCAGCAGCATTTGACAAGAATCTAGATGTTACCTTTTTTGCACAGAAAATTTGTTCAAAAGATTTATGAAGTGTTCCTGTTAAATGGCACTCTCGTCAAACACCATAGTACCTATACTGTCATGCACATATCTTGCATGTACACAGCACTGTTGTTAGTGGACATGTTAGATAATCTTCAGTTTTTATCCATGTTCTTCTGACTCATCATAGGTAATGTTTCTATGTATGTTGCATGATGCAGTGGTTAGGAGCGCAGACTCTAATCTGGGAGAACCGGGTTTGATTCCCCACTCCTCTACATGCAGCTGCTGGTGTGACCTTGGGTCAGTCACAAGTTCTCTCAGAGATGTTCTCTCAAGGGCAGTTCTCGAAAGAGCTCTCTCAGCCCCACTTACCTTGCAGGGTGCCTGTTGTGGGGAGAGCCAGTTTGGTGTAGTGGTTAAGTGTGTGGACTCTAATCTGGGAGAACCGGGTTTGATTCCTTCTTCTTAATTAAAATATGTACACCCTATCTTCCCCTTGTCACTCAAGGCAACCTACAGTTCCAAATTAAAATCATACACAATGCCCCTCCCAAATAAAATGTCTGCAGCTTAAACCCCATTAAAAGCTCTCACAAATAAAAAGACCTTTCAGCTCCTTCAAATATTTACAAAAATTGGCACACAAACCCAACATCAGCAAGCCCATTCCACAAAGTGGGAAGCAGCTATAGAAAAGGAATGGTCTGTAGAGATGCCACCTGAAGTGGGGAAACAGAGCTAGAACATGGCAACCCAAAGACTGCTGTTTTAGTTATTATACAACTTCCATACATTTTTGTGCATGTACATTAGGCTTGCCAAGCCCCCGCTGGGGGCGGGTAAATTCCCGCCTGGGAGGCCCGTTACCCGCCGGTGGCAGATCAGGCTCTGGGGGGAACTCCACCCCCTGCCGGAGGGCGTCCCCAGCGTGATGATGTCATCCGGAGGTGACATCATCAAGTCAGCCACGTTGTGGGAGGGACACTCTCTGAATCGAGGGAAAACTCTATGGTTTTCTCTCGAGTCACGGTGCTCCGCCCCCGATGTGGGTGACGCAATAATGTCACTTCCGGGAATCCCCCCACTTTGCAGGTAAGTCGACTTGGCAACCCTAATGTACATTTTGCAGTTCTCGAAAGAGCTCTCTCAGCCTTGGCAACCCTAATGTACATTTTGGCTTTTTTGTTTTTCTAGGGGGCTTTTTGGGGAACACTCTTCTTTGAGCTTGACGGGTCCTGTCCAAGGCATACTAATAAGGCCATTATAACGTGTTTTTAGAAATATCCCCAAAGCTGAAATAACACCTTTGTTTTCTCTTCTGCAGACCCTTACATAATAGTAGGACTGAATAACTCAAGAGCCACTAAACTAAGGACATCTCAGTGATAATGTACTGTGGGCTTATAACCCTCTTTTTTCTAGTAGCACCTTAAAGACTAACACAATCTGTGGTAGGGTAGGAGCTTTTGTGACTCACTGCTCACTTCTGCAGATACCTGAAGAAGTGAGCAGTGACTCATGAAAGCTCTTACTCTTTTCTACTGCTACAGACAGACTACCATAGCGATACATTTTGTCCTACCTCTTTTTCCTGTAACCCAGGAAAAGCCAATACTGGTCGCTGCACTCACCTGCTTTCCTCTCCTTCCAGCAGCTTCCTATACGTGGTGATCTCGATGTCCAGGGCCAGCTTGAGGCTCATCAGCTCCTGGTATTCCCGCAGTTGGCAGGCCATGTCCTGCTTGGCCTTGTGCAGGGCTTCCTCCAGCTCAGCCAGCTTGCATTTGGCATCTTTCATTGCCATCTCCCCACGCTCTTCGGATGCAGCCACTTCCGCTTCCAGTTTGCAGCGCTATAATGACAAGGCTGTGTGTGTCTTAATGGCACAATATTTGTTTTAATCGTGAATGGTCTATCCTATTGTGTAATGCCCCTGGTCTGCTTATTGCAAACTCTGCAGGTTGGGTGTTAGGGATTAAGTAGAATATGTTATCTTGGGATACTTATTTCTCACAATCTGAATTGGTCATTTCATCCAAAGGCTATGCTGAAGAAGGGCAGACCTTGCATTGAAGGTATATTAATTTTTTTCAGGGCTGATATATTCCTAGGGCAATCCAAGTTTTTAATATGAAAATTATACCTATTTTGCTTCGAAGGCATTGGGATTCAATTGGTAAATGTATCTTTCAATCTTCTCTTACCGCCAATGGCCTGCCTTGTTTGGGGGGAAATTAGCTGTGTGGCAGGGAGAACCAGATGGGTACAGGGACCGCACACCAATTGTATACCAAGGACTGGTAAAGTAGGAAGACTCCAGATTTGAAGAGTAAATAAAGTAGATTTCATTAAAGAATTTCCCTAATTACAAGCACACTAAGCATTCTAAAAGAGCAATCGATTCAGAACTAAGAAAGCAGAGGTGATTGGGAGCGAATAGAAGGGTCAGTTATGGGGTGATACGACCTGTCCAAATGTGCAGTGGTCCATGGAGACGGGATTGTGACCCAAAGAAAAGTTTGGGGGTGGATTGCCAGTTGGCATCAGGGCAAAGGAACACCCTCTGAGGCCATTTGCATGGACGGATACAGACATTGAAAAACAATGCAGAACAATGGAAGTCCTTGAGGGGCTTGTCCCAGGTGAAGACAAAAGATTACCTGGCCCAATGAGGAGTCCCAGGGGGTGCGGCTGTCAGGAGGGGCATGGCCTAGGTGTAACCAATGGGGTTCCAGAGGGGCAGAGTCTGGATTCACAATAGCTCTAGTGGGATTAGCCAGGTGCAGGGTGACTGTACAAGAGCTGGTTGAATGGATTTAATGATCACTAATGGTTCTGCCAAGGTAGACTGAATAGGCTCCCAAGTTTACACAAAAGGTGGGAGATGGGTTCCTGATTAGCATCAGAAAGGATCACTAAACATTTGAATGTATGATTGGTTTATCTCGGTATCCTGAGGGAAGGAGCGGGAAAGACAGTTGTGAAGACAAAGGATTCTCATATAGACATAGCTGAACACAAAAGGGCTGGGTGAAGTTCTGGAGACAGAAGGGCTATGTGCCAGGTGGCAACTGAGTAGCCTTTAGAAATGCAGATACCTTGTGGAACTTGCCTTATGCATACCTTTGCTCGGTGAGGGGAAGAAGAGTGGAGGTTTGCTCTGAGGGCTGCCTTATGCCACCTGAGAATGGAGATCCTTTTCCCAGAGCTGTGGCTAGCTCTGTGTTTCAGGTCAGGAGTGCCTGCCTTGGCCTGAGTTTGTGGGTCTCTGGTTCAGGTTAAGAAGTGGGGTTACCCTAGAGTAAGGCAGTGCCTCTGGGCTACACTTCCCTTAATTTGTTTTCTTCATAAATTGACTAATGTTCTTAAATGTGTAGCTGGAGTGTCACTACATACTGAATTGGGTCAATTATACTCGGAAGCTAGAGCTTGGCAATTGGCTTTCTGTTTCTATTTTAAAGCACTTGTTGGTTATTCCAGATACTTAGCTCCAATAAAAAGCAGATTCTTTCACATTTAAGTTTTTTGACTCAAAACTTCTTCTCATTGGTTTAAGTTCTGACATGATTTGGCCCTGTAGTTCTAAATTCCTTTATTAGGAAACATATCTAGGAGATGGATTATTAAAGTACATATTTTCCTGCCTGCAGAATTTGTACTTCCTCGTTTTTCCAATCCCTCCATCTAGATCACTGCCTTCTTATGCCTTCCATTTGTCTGTCCCAAATTATTTTAGAGCTTTTTTATTGATTAAATGCTGTTATGAGTGGTTGGTTAATGAGGCCCCCTTTTCAGAGCGTTTGTGTGACTGTCCTTTAGGGAAGATCACTACGTTGGTGCATATTTTATTGGAAAGCCCCCTGTATGCAACTCCTAGGAATTGATTTTTGAAGTAACTGTCCATGAACCTTGATGATGTGGCTGCATCCATGCTTCCATGAAGATACAGATTGAAATACTCAGGGGTCATTTCGTAGAAGAAGAGGTGCAGGAGCTCCTTAGCATAACTCATTAGCATAACTTATTTGTTTATGCCACACACCCCTGACATTACCAGAAGTGAGCCAGAAGGCAACACCCACCACTCAGGCTCCACTTGACTGTTTTGGATTGCTAGCTATTGGGGGGGGGGGATGTGCAGATCTGTCCTCGCAGAGGAGGGAGAGCTTGTACCTGAATAAAACTTGGTCTTAAAGGTGCCACTGGACTGTTTTGGGCTGGAGGGGCCAGGGGGAGCTCTGCAACGTACCTGGCTGCTTCTTGCTCTGACTGAGGGCTGCTGGGAGCAGGGGGTGGGGCTTGTTGCATGTGCCCGCCCCCTGGGCTCTTTACTGCCAGAGCTCCACTCCTGTGCGCTCCTGCAGGAAATGACCCCTGGAAATACTTATTCAATGCACCCCCAAACAGAATATCCCAATGGAAAAATGTGAGAAAAGAACGAACACCAGTTCCATTCTACAACATGGATAATTCCAAATCTGAATAGTGTATTCCTTTTATGGGGAAGCCTGGAGGCATTGCTAAAAGGAGATACTACCATAATTGTCTTTCCTTTGGTGAGCAATCCCCATTCTAGCAATAACGTTTGTGGCTGAAATGAAACACATTGTTTCACATTAGAAATCTTTATGTGAGAGGACCGACAATGGCGAAGAGGTAGGGGGTCCGCTTTGCTTGTAGCAAGTTCCAGGTTCATTCCCTGGTTTCTCCATTTAAAATGCTCAGTAGAGCTGCTGCCAGTCACAGCAGACCATACTGACCTTGATAGACCAAGGGTCTGACTCAGTACAAGGCAACTTCATCAGCATGTAGGTCATCCCCACAATAACCCTGTGAGGTAGATTAAATTGAGAGTGGCTGGCTGGTTAAAGGTCATCCAGCATGCTTCATGGCAGAGTGGAGAAAGGAACTCAGATCAACAAGCCTGACACTCTAACCATGTATCAATGCTATCCCTTCTCACCTGCGCTTTGACATTGGAAAGTTCTGCCTCCAGGCGATGGACCACCCTAGTCATCTCAGCAAGCTCCTCCTTGACATTGCGCAGGTTGTCACAGTGTTGGGCAGCAGTTGTTTTCAACTCCTGGTACTAAAGCAAGGAGGGTGGGCAATGTTGGTGGAACCACTGAATGCAACATCATACATGTGACAGTTCATCTGACATACAAACACACACACGCACATGCACACACGCACCAAAGTACCCATCATAGAGCTACAGCCACCAGGGATTTCTCTGATGGGAAGGATTGTGAACAAAGGGGATGCCATAACAGTAATTCCAAACACAGAAAGGGGAGGCACAGAGGGAGAGGGAGACTACAGACAAAAGATGCTCCTGCAGAAGAAGATGCTTCAGGAACTAGACAGGTATATAGCATCAATTCAGTGGCCTAGGGTAGATTTAAGAACAGCTGGATATTCTATGGTTTTACCATAAAGTTTCTGATAGTTCCTAGAGCTACCTACATCATTTCTGGGTTTTCCTCAGAAATGACATAGTGGCAGGCAAGACGTTGTGCCTTCCCTGCCCAGAGCCTCTGACCAGTTGCCCGGAGAAAATGGCTGCTTTGAAGGGTGGAATCTATGGGATTGTACCATGCTGAGACCCCTTTCCTGGATCCACCCCCAAAGTATCCAGGTATTTTCCAACCCAGACCTGGCAACCCTAGCATAAATATAGCACAAAAGAAACACTGAACAGCCTTTAAAAAACCCATAAAATAGTTTTCAGGCCAGAAGAAAACCATAATGCAGCTAAAAAGGTAAAAACCCTTAGTTAAAAGCCTGGGTAAAAAGAAATTTTGGGGACAGGTACGAACCAGGTAATCCTCAGAGGAGAGGGCATCCAAAGATAAGTTGCCACCAATGAAACAGCCCCCTACCTGCCACCTACCTCAACTCTTCAGGCAGGGGCACAGAGACCAGAGCTTGAAAGATGGCTCTTAACTAGCAGGCCAGACAGTACATGGTACCTGCTTGTTTCTCCTAGCTCCCAGAGTTCACCAATTCCTCCCTACCTGTTTCAGCCATCTCCCCCTCTTTTCTAGTACACTGCTGTTTCCACACCACAGAAACACAAAACACACTTTCAGCATAAAGCAAATAGTACCCAGAAGGGCAAATCTCTCCCCCTCCCACCTCCTATGGCATGCTGGGCCTTACCTGGCACTGGCACCAAGCCTCAGCCTCAGCACGGCTCCTGGAGGCTATATCTTCATACCGACGCCTGAATTCCTCAATGACACAGTCCAAATTTAGACCTCGGCTGTTGTCCATCTGCACTGTGACACAGGTGTCTGAAATGCAAGACTGCAGCCCCTGGATCTCCTGCAAGAGGTTCAGAATGCAGCTGCTACACATGTGCAAAGCAGATGTTTTTGGTTCTGTCCAATATGCCTAAATTCATTAGTCAACACAGTGTTAGACTGCTTCAGCTTCCGGATTCGGCAGCTTGTTGCCATGATGGCCTTTCTGGAAGACTTTTTTTTTTAAGGGTTCCACCACACATACCAGCTTTCTGTTCTCCTAAGGGCACGATTTAAGATACTGCTACAGTTTTGGCCCCGTTTCTGTTTCCTTTTTGTTGTTGTTCAGTCGCACAGTCAAGTCCGACTCTTTGTGACCTGAATCGCGGTCTTAATATCAACCTGGAAGCTGGTAACATGAGTTTTTACCTCATGACCAAAACCAACTGAAACATTCCCTCAGTGCAGGGAGGTCCCTCCATACAGAACCCCAATGATCAATTTCTGCCTGAAGGGTTTTAAAGGTATAGGCCAGACAGCTGGGTTGGAATAAAATATGATTGGTGTTTCTGTCCTCCCTGATCCTATTAATCTGCCCTCCCCAGCATTTTTCCTCTTCACAAATCTCTTCCCTGAATATAGGCTGTGGTCACACACAGAAAATAATCCACTTTCAATCCACTTTCAGTGCACTTTCCAACTGGGGATTTTACTGTGGCCCATTCGGCACCTAGCATTCACTCTGCTGTTTTATCAAACCCATGTTGGAACAGAAATTCCCCTCTACATTGCATGCTGCTTTCACTTTCTTTGATTGTTGGATTTTATGGTAGCCTCCACACTGCATGCCGGGTTTTACTTCCTTTGGTCTCTTGGTTTTATGGTACCATCTGCATAGATTTGTGGTCATTTTGGTCCTGTCCACATGAGACGTTTTGGGCTGGGAGAGGGACGCATCGGGGCCGCAGCAAACGGGCGCGATCCCACAGCAACATCTGGGAATCGTGCTGCGCCCATTCCCAGCCCATTCCCAATCTGCCCCTCCCGGCCAAACCCCGCAGCATCACTGCCGGCCGTGGGATCGTCTTTTCGCCGGCGCATCCCCGGCCCCCGGCCATACTGCGCATGCTCGAGCATGCGCAGTTCGGCAGCCTCCCCCTCCCAATCGTCTCTTCCTCCCCAGCATCTGATCGTGCCGGGGAGCAACAGCGCCGCGGCTCAGGGGATCGTGGGATCCCACAGCGGCGTCTCTTTTTTGGTGCGGCTTTTAAAAGCCGCACTTTGGCCAGTGTTTTCCCTGCCATGTGGCAGGGGCCTTTATGACCATTCAGGGGTGGCTCTGCAGTCAGTAGGGCATTGGACCAGGGTATATGAATGTGGTTTTGAGACACATCTTTTTCTGTTTCGGTGTGGGTTTGGTTAAACAACAGAGGGAATGCTAGATGCAGAATGGACCTGTGTGAACTGGCAAGATCCAGTTGGAAAGTGCATTGAAAGTGAATTGAAAATGGATTATTAGTGTGTATGACCGCAGCCATAGTTTTTGGAGTCATAGGCTGTGTGGAATGTGAGATCTCCTTACCTCCTCAAAAGTAGCTCTGTAAAAACAGAGGTCTCGCATCAAGGCCTGTACTTTGGCTTCTTTCTCTGACTTGTCCATGAAAACACAATCAACCTCCTATAGAAATTTGATATTTAAATGGGAGAAAGGGGTCTGATTAGGAATGTATGATTGTCAGTCAAGGTTCAGAGGATGGGAAGAAATTTAGCAGCCAAGCGGAGAAACATCGTCACTTGCCTTTTTAATTGTCACATATCCATTTTCTGCATTTGTTCTTTGGTGACACTCCTCTTCAAACCTGATGGGGAAAACCATGGTATTTTTTCTTTCTTTCACATTTGAATTAATTCACACTCCTTCTGTGCTTACAAAAGCAACCTCCCACTTCTTCTTTTCCACAGCTTCCCTCTAAATCATCCAGCCCAATTTTATTTCATGATGATCTCAAAGTCAAGTGTTTACTTAGCTCTGTGGAGGGACACCAGACTTCTACCCAGAAGTCCGACCTACACCTTTAAATTTCTCAAATCTTCGTGAGATGAGGCAGCTGTGGCAACTCCTGCTTCTTACAGATCCACCCCTATGTTGCTCCTTATAATGAGCTGGGTTCCAGGTATGCCCTACAACAGGCAAGACAAGGGAACATTTGAGAAAAACGGGGGAGAAATTAGCAGGAAAAGCCAGATCTGCTTCATTTGCCAATCCATTGAGGTATTTATAGGACCCAAGGTGCAGTTTGGCAATCTTATTTTATTCTGCTCTTACCTTTGAGGTGAAGAATTCAGAATGCATTGCTAGTGTAGATCAAGATTGAGAACCATAAAGATCTGAATCTTTTGAGATCAGCCATGAAAAATAATTAGTACACTGTCAACATTTTTCAGATGTTTTCAAAGAGTCATAAACTTCAGGTCTTTAATATCTGTGTTGTGTTGAAGCAGTTTTCACCATGGGAGGTTTCTTTGCAGCACTGAATGGATTCATAGTAGATATCACAGGCATGCCAACCCACACACCTACCCACATCACGCCTTCCTCCTCCTCCTCCTCCAGCTTTTTTAAAAAATGTAAGGCTTTGCAACAGTAGTAAACATTACAGGTAAAGACTGATGGCACTTGAAGGCATACAACAGATTCATGAAATCATTCACATTTTTACCTAAAATAGGGAACTTCATGCCTTAAACATGATCAGCAGATACTTATTTCTTCTACTTTTAAAGGAATATATGTAAACTATTAAAATGAGTATATTGACTCAAGCCAGTGGCTGGTCCACACTCAGTATTGCTAACTTTGGCACAGTACTCCTGAGAGCGATGAGGGACAAAATCATGGTCCTTTTTGGGGGGCCACTTGCAATATGCCTCACACATGATCCCATCCTATAAATCTAATCTCATATCACAAGTCATGGAAGAAAAACAAATCTGATTTATTTCATGACCATTTCATGACCTTGGACTTGAACCCCCTCCCCGGTCCCTGAAAAGTATGCTTATCGTGGAAGAAAAACAAATCTGATTTATTTCATTACCATTTCATGACCTTGGACTTGGAAACCCCCCCTCCCCCGGTCCCTGAAAAGTATGCTTATCACCCCAATACATGCTTGGGCCTTGGAGGAAATGGCTGAGATTGTGGGTTGCTGGGGACTTGATAACCTTTCTGGGTTCAGTCCCCAGCAGGCAGCAAAAACAATAAGTTCATTAATTCCCTGTTGGGCCACCATACATGGCTGAGGGCTGCACTGGTGCATTGCCAAGTTGTACAGACATGGTTTGAACGGATACATCAACATGGCCTCCTGTTAGCAGGCAAAAGGTTACACTCACTTTCTCTTATTACATTCCAGAGTCTCTCTCCAGTTTTTCATTTCTGCTTGCCGCTGTGCTCTCTCATGCTCTAGACACTCCAGCTCTTTCTTCAGGTTGCAGGCATACTCATTAAACATGGGTTCCATGTTGCTTTTGCGACTCTTCCTCTCTTGCAAGAAGTCCCACTTGGTCTTCAGCATCAGGTTCTGCTGCTCCAAAACCCGGACCTGTCACCAAGAGAAATATCACCCGCATGGGTGGCTGATTTTGAGAGTGAATCATTTCACACTGGAACTGGTACAGTCCTCAGGTGGGGAAGAGGAGACACTGGTAGCAATGCAAGGTCCAGATCCATTGACTCCTGTAGGAACTTGGACACACTTGAAGTTTCTTTGAGGTCAAAAGCAAAAGACTACCCCAGCATCTCGAGGTGTTCCATGTCATGACTGAGAAGCCAATAGGATGCAAATATAATATTTCACACAACATTTTGATTTATTGGAACTGGGTTTATTTCTTGATTTTTAATTGAACTCTAATGCATAGTAATCATGCACATCTGCCCATATTTACTGTGCAATGAGATCCCAGGAAAATGTAACATCTAATAATCTTTCTATTTCCCCCCCCAAATTAGAGGACTATGCCAAAAGAAGAGATGATTTCAGCCAGAGAGCAATGAGCATCAAATATCAATTATCCCACCCTCCCCAATTCTTTTTGATTGAACTCATTCCCTGTGTGTCTCCCATAGCCTCATTACAACAAAACTACATGTAAACAGTTTTTCCATTTCCATTTCTCTATACATACTCCAAAAGTCTGGAAGGTTACATAGATAAGTGAGGTTGTGCTTGGAATGAAAACGCTAGTCAGTTTGCCCATATCCGATGTCAGTCTTCTTTAGGAATCGCTGGAAACAATATTGTTCTACCATAGAGTTTCTGGTAATTCCTAGAGAAGCTTAATGTCACTTCCAGGAAGCAATGCCATTCCATCACCAATGGCAATTTGTTTTTATTATTTCTTTTTCCTCCCGGATGTCCACCACAGTGGGTACATGACAGCCCTAGCTTCAAATCACTTACCCCTTAATCAGGTGTCTGCTGTTGTATGGTGATTGGAAATCTCTGCCTGAAATCAACCACAAATTTATGAAGAGGCCTTATGCAAACTCTGTACTTTTAGTTCTTGGACTAGGGTGACCAGCTTCCTGGAGATTTGGGATCAGTGCTGGGGGGGGGGATTTGGGGTGGGATTTGACCTGAAATATATGGTATACTATAGATGGAGCTGCGGTGGCTCAAGTGGTTAAGATGCTGAACTGCAGGCTTTGATTCGACTGGCTTTCGAGCAAGGGAACCTTTACCTTTATAGATTCTTCACTCCGGAGCTGCCGTTTTCTGCAGTTGAACTGATCTCTGTAATCTGGAGATCCATGGTAATTCCAGGAGAACTTCAGGCCCCACTGGGAGCCTGGCAAACTGACTTTGCGCACACACATCCCATTTGGGGAAAATAATACTGAATATGGATAATAATATTTACAGGGCTGTTGGACCGATTACTGAGATGATAAGGGAGACAACAAACTTTTTTTTTTTGCAAAGCACCCAGATTCACAGAAGGAGGCCACTGAGTCCATCTTCCTGTTTCCCACAGAGGCTGCCAGATACTTCTGGGAAGTGCACAAGCCAGGGCTTGAAACCAACAGTTCTCGTTGTTTATCCATAATCCCTGGTAATTGGAATTATACTGACTGAACGTGGATGTTCCTTTAGCTGTCATAATCCTCCTTGGATCTGTCTAATCCTTTAAAAAAAGCTATCTACACTAATGGTTGTCACTACATCATACGAATTCCCTAAATAATAATTCACAGTGGAGGTGGCAGGGAAAGACTGAGCCATGTCTGCAGGCAGTGAGTAGCTGGAGCTCAGTGGCAGAAAATCTGCTTTGCATGCAGAAGGTCCCAGGTTCAACCCATGGCATCTATTGTTAAAAGGATCAGAATAGGAGATGATGTGAAAGACCTCTACCAAAGACCTTGGAGAACCTCTGCTGGTCAGAGTAGACAATGCTGACTTCATAGACCAATGGTTAGACTCAGTATGAGGCAGCTTTGTCTATGTATCTTCCCTAAATTGCTCCCCAAGCCAACCTCTTTAAATGATCCATGTGATTCTTTTAATTTGCAGCTATAGCATAAAAAGCTAGAATGCACCAGAGTCCCTCCTTTGCGACACACCTCCCACCTTCTGACTGGGATCTAAGGACTCAGGGATCTGCATTCCTTCTTATACCTGACAAAGGGTAGCTTTCAGACTCTCAAAAGCTGATACCCTGGAAATGTTGTTGGTCTCCAAGGTGCTTCTGGGGTCCAATCTAGCTGTTTCACTGTAGGCCAACACAGCTACCCGCTGAGGCTCCTTACTTCTTATTCCTTACGATGCTTACTTCTGACCCCACCCCACCCTCCAGCCACTCACCTTGTCAATAAAGCAGGCAAATTTGCTGTTGAGGCACTGAAGTTCGTTCTTCTCTTGACATTTGGCTGCTTGAGCCGTGGCATCGATCCCCAGGCTGAGAGGCCGCAGCAGGGTCTCATTGCAAGTTACGGGAGTGATGTGAGGAGAACCAGGGGCACAGAACCCAGAACGCCTGAAACCGTAACCATATCTGGTGCCACAACAGCTGTATCCAGTGCTGGTGCCCTGATAGCTAGATCCACATCTCGGAGGCAGGCAGTTACTGACAGCACTTCTGGGGCCACAAGAGCTGGCACCCCCCAGGCTCCTGCTACTAAAGCAGCCGGCTCTTCCATGACCAACTCCAGCAACCTTTGTATGGCAGGCAGTGCTCACCGGGGATGCGTTCCCCATGGGGGGAAGGACAGCTGAATAAGAGCTGAAGCCCCTGGGGGGATATGCAGGGTTTGAGCAGCAAGACATTTTTCTTTTGTAGGTGAGCAAAAGACGATGGGGGGAAGTGAAAGGTGTAAAGGTGTTGTGGTGAAGTGCAAGGAAACTTGTCCTTTATATTTGTTTGGGGCAGCTGGGCTTGGCCAATGTAAAAATGGGGGATAAAGCAACTTCCTGGACTTTATGAGCTTGGTATGTTTCCAGAACCCAATCCTCATGAGTTGCGTCTTCACAGCATGAAATGGCTGCTCACTCGGCCCATTAAAAGATTTCAGGGATTTCCCAGATTCATTGTTTACTGCACCTACAATGCCATATTAAAAAAAAATATGGTTTATTCCACCCTCCTTTTTTAAACATACAGATGAAACATATAATTAACACATGGCTATCTAGAAGTCAGGATTTGGCCCGCCTACTGCCTTTCCTAGTTACGGTATGTGTTGGCTTCCCTTTTCTTAGTTTATAGACCTCCTACTCGAGGGGAACCTGTTGTCTCCTAAAATGCCAGGAGGCTTAATTATCTGATTAAGTGCCTCCAAATGAAAGGTGGCTTTGATGTAGTCAAGTATTTTCTGCGTGGTACAATGGGAACTTTTGCAAAATCCTTAAACTGCTGAGGAAGCAGCTCTCCACAGCAGGAGAGGCTGTGGCTCAGTGGTGGAACATCTGCTTGGCAAACAGAAGGTCTCGTGTTCAATCCCCAACATCTCCAGCTAGAAGATGAGGTAGTAGACCTCTGCCTGAGATCCTTGAGAGCTGCTGCCAGTCAGAGTAGATAATACTGCCCTTGATAGGCCAGTGATCTGAATAAGTATGAGGCAGATTCATGCTTTCATGTTATTAGAAATGTTTCATAGACATAATTTTTCATGGAGTCACGCTTTCTCACTCACTGTGTATCTCCAGGCAATCGGGGATCACATACTGACTTATGATGATGTCATGGTACTACGTATCTTCTCATATTTGACTAGAAGATGACAACTTCACTGATGACAAATAAAAAGGATGGAGAGGAAGTATTAATCTTCCTAAATGCTATTCTTCCCAAGTATTCTTCTTCCCATGTGATCCCAGGCAATCTGATCAACAAGTTGTCTTCCTCCTAAAAGGACTGCATAGGTGACAATTTTGGTCTTCTTTTTTCTCTAAGACCCCCTCATGAAATCAGAGGCAGCTGCTGCTTTTTGCAGCTGCTGAAGAGGTTTACAAAACTTCCCATCCTTTCAGCTCAACTCTATATGACATTAGACAATAGTCCATCCACAAGCCCATCCTTCCTACTCACTATCAATGCATCTGATTCTAAATGCATCCCTTTAATTCACCACCATTTCCCTCTTGTTGCAGAACAGAATTGCAAATGCACAGTTTTTTAAAGACTGGACATATTGCACAAGCTCTAGGCAAGGACCCAAGTTGCTACACGGTCCCACCTGGGCCCAGCATGACTGATTGTGTATATGTTGCAAATTGCATTTAGCAATTAACATTTAGCAATTATGTTTGCACACAGTTTCGAGACATTAAAGCACAGCTGTGAAATGACATTTCACTTGTAAAAGTGATGCAGCAGCCTGTAATTTCTTGCTGGGGCAGTCCCAAAGGTGCCAAATTGGTCTCCTGTTAGGGGATACATTCACTGTATTTTAATTTTGTGCATTGCATTCAGGAGGGATCTTATCAGAAGCATTGTGACTAATTATATATGTCACCTTATAAAGTTAGGGGACTGGGGTTGGTTATTCAAGGGGGAGAATGTGGTACCTCCAGCCTAGTGGCTCACATATCCCTAAAGTGTGTACGGGACATCACTAGGCTTGCCATCTCTCCCGTTAGGGCGGGGGTCCCTAGATTTGAGATCCTCCACCCCTGCTTCTTAAGAATTAGCCGGTGGGGGTCACTCTAGCAGCAGCCATAGAGATGAAGGCTAGAGTGCCCCAGGTCTCTGACCGTCGGCGGGCACTTCTGCCTTCAAAGTGTGTAGTCCGCTACTCGCCTTGCCTCCTTAGCACCACTCACTCCTGGCATCCCTCCTTTGACCGGCGATCTGCTTGTGTGCTGCCTGCATTCCTCCAAAGCCTACGCTAGCAGACCGAGGTGAGTCCCAAGCAGCAGGCAACCATCCCCTTCTCCTCGCTGAGTGCCCCCTCATGCTGGCGTGCCAAAAGAAAGGCGTGGATGCAATACTGGAGCGCTCCAAGGCAGCTTCGGCTGTGTCACTGGGCCCGCCAGCCCAGCCTCCCAAGAGCAGCGAGGGATGGGGTAGAGAGAGAGAGTGCCCACCAGAAGGAAGGGGACTGCCAGGGCAGCCCACAGGCCCTGGGCTCCCACCCGACAGCTGCTCTGCAAAAGCGCCCGAGAGGGAGGGAGGGAGTGAAGGAGGGGGCCAGCCAGAGCTTCTCCTGTCCACTTCAGCACTCCACCCGGCACACAAAGGCGCACCTTTACCTGCCTGGCAACTGGGACACACGCCCTTTGTCCAGCCTCCCTTCTCAAGCCTTGGTGCAGCGAATCCTGTCTTTCTCCGCCGGGCGCCCCCTTCCCCTGCAAGCTTTTTCTGGATCTC